TCTTAAGTCCTACCACCACAGGAATCTGCGAGAGTGCTGTCTCTTTAAAAATAGTCAAGCCGCTTTTTAAACCTACAAAATGGCGGCGTCCTCCGGACCGACAGAAGTCCACAGCTCAGCCCACCCTTCTCCTCACCTTCTCTGCTTGTTCCCCAGCCCATCATATCCTTGGACTAATTGTTTCCATATGACTTTGATTTTCTTCACTCTTTGCTCCAGATGAGAGAAGACCAGTATTTGCATCTTAGATGGCTGCTCGAAAGCCTTTAAGACCCCAGTCTCTACTCACCAAAATAGGATGTAGAACAAGATTTTTTTGTACTGTGTTGTGCCAGTTGAGCTTGATGTCCCCTGAGACCATGGTCCTGAGCCCATAGGCCCAGTGACTCTTTCCCTCAAGGTGCTTTGTTGTCACTGAGAAGGTACTCCAACTGTGTCCCCAGCTGCTTCTAGAATGTATATGGATATTTTGGTAGCACAAATACACATGTAAGAATATCTTCAGCCAAATCTATCCATGGTCATGGGTATATTCCTGTTCTCCTGTCCACACCTGATCTTCTTACCTGTCTATGCATTTACCCATAGACAGGTGTTCGCTACCACTGGTAATGCAGTATTTGCCTCTGTTGTCTGTATCTTTTGTGCATGTATCTGTGTCCTTCTTTTCCCTACAGTGATTGTACTGGTCACATATTTTTGTTAAATTGCCTTTTCTGGCACCCAAATCAATGCATGACTCTCAGCTGGTGAGAAAATTTCCCCCTCTTCCCTCCCATCCCTGGTAACCAACAAAATTTTCTTTACTTTTTATAATAATGGACTCATACAATGTTTGTCCTTCTGTGATTGACTTACTTCATTCAGCATGCTCAAAACAAACTCACTGCCATCGAGTCGGATCCAACTCATAGTGAGCCCTCCTTGGGTTTCCGAAGTGGTATCTCTACGGAAGTAGATTGCCCAGTCTTGTTTCCAAGGAGTGGCTGGTGGGTTTGAACTACCAGCCTTCTGGTTAGCAGTCAAATGCCTTAGGCACTATGCCACCAGGGCTCTTTCATTCAGCATGTCCTCCAAATTCATCCACATTACTAGGTGATTTGTAGATTCTTCATTATTATTTAATGTTGCATAGTATTCCATTATTTGTGGGTTGTTCATTATTATTTAACATTGCATACTATTCCATTGTGTGAATGTCCTATATAGTTTGGTTATCCAATCATCTGTTGATGGGCACTTAAGTTGTTTCCACCTTTTTGCTATAGTGAACTATAGCAAAACTGCTGTGATGAACATGTCTATTTATATCCTGGATCTCACTTTAGGATGTATTTCTAGTAATGGAATTGTTTGATCAAATGGGATTTCTGTTTCCAATTTTTTACGGAAATGCCATACCATTTTCCACAGTGGCTATACCATTTTCCAGTCCCACCAGCAGTGTATGAGAGAATCTAATCTCTCCACACCCTTGCCAACATTTGTTATTTTCTGCCTTGTTGAGCTTTGCAATTACTGCTGGGGTGAGATGGCCAGTAATTGTGAACCTGTTTATCTTCTTTAGTGAAGTGGAAGACAGGCTCTTTAAAAATTTCTTAGAAATAGATCTCCAGGCTGAAACTATAGTTCAGTCTCTAACTTATCCTGGTAAATTGGAGCCCTCCAGGAAGAAGTAAAATATTTTTGATGAATACCTATCGTGTACCTTGGCCACGTTTTATACATTATCCTACTTAGTCATATTGTCAGAAGGGACCATTCCCTGGAGAAGGATATCATGCTTGGTAAAGTAGAGGGTGCATGAAAAAGGGGAAGATCCTCAATGAGATGGATTGACATAGTGGCCTGCAATGATGGGATCAAGCACAGCAAGGATTGTGAGGAAGATGCAGGACCGGGCAGTGTTTCATTCTGCTGTCCATAGGGTTGCTGAGTTGGGGCCAACTTGATGGCCTCTAACAACTTAATCCTAACAAAGGATTATTATTAACATATTAAAGGAAACAGGTTCAGAGAGGTTTTATAAATTGCCCAAGTTCATACAATTACTATATATTTAGGTTGCTTTCCTCAGATTATGTCTTCCCTACATCTTAAAGAGCTATGATGATTAGATCAGATTTCCCTTCTGAGCTATACTTACAGGTCTCGATACTGGTTCAGAGATCCCAAAAATCTGCTCAGAGTGTATTAATTTATATAATAGTTTATGTTCTAGTAGAAAGGTTTCTCCAACAAGAAATAATTAAAGGTTTGCATAAGACTATCTTTCTTAATTTCCATCTTTTAAAAACCATTATAACAGTGAAAATTAACTTTTTAAATATAATTAATCTTTTAACTAAAATTAAGTATTATTTTCATGTGACCAGTAACTTAGTCTGAAAAAAGAATGGTTATGACCAAAACATTTTCAATAAATAGTAACGTCTTTTTTTGGGGGGGGGGGGGGCGGTACAGAGCACTTCAAATTACCTACATTATTTTGTTGTCTAAGAGGTTTTTTTTTTTTTTTTTTTAAATGGTCATTACTATTCCTCATGGGCGGTTGTTTAATGAACCCAGGTGGCACAGTGGTTTAGCATTTGACTGCTAACCGAAAGGGTGGCAGTTTGAACTCATCAGCCACTCCATGGCAGAAAGATGCAACACTCTCCTTCTGTAAAGATTACAGCCTTGAAATCCCTATGGGACAGTTATCTGTCCAGCAGGGTCACTGTGAGTTGGAAATCAACTCAACAGCCTTGGGTTGGGGTTTATGGGTGGTTGTTTAGGGCCTGGACATCTTTTATTATAGGAATTTTTGTTTGTTAAGTTTACAATAAAATTTTCTATCAATATGACAAAGTAATATTTTGTTACTTGCCACAAATATCACATCACCTTCTCTAGGAGTTGCATTTTTATTGATGGATGCTAAAGAATGCCTTATGTCAGCTGAAGAAATTGTTCTAGCCAAAACTGAGAAGTTTATAAACATTCACCGAAATAGTTTTTTGGTTCTGTCTGCTGCCCTCCATGGCTCCCAGGAATGGAAACTGATGTTCAGGATTCAACAGAGGTATGGAAGAGTATCAGTTCAGACATATTTTTCTGAAATTATACTGTCTTTACTTCAATTGTTAATTATTTTAGGAAGTTTTGTTTTGCTGGAAGATAAACTTAAATGTTAACCTGTTGTGTTTAATGAAGCACAGGTCAAACAGCTATTCTGTGTATTAATGTGACAAGTTTGAGTGTTCATGCTGATTTATGGGATTCTCCTGAAAGGCTTAGGCAAAATGAGTATTTCTTAGTCAATTAAATACTGGCTACAATGCCACCTCAAATCCTCTGTGGAATAAGGCAGGGCATGAAGGAATGAACAAGTAACAAACTAGAGTTTGTTTGATCTTAAGTAGGATTTTTCACCTACTTTGGGTAACAGATATTAAAGTTATATGATCCACATAACTTATAAATTGTTTTTCAGATTCCTGGGTAGAAACTTAAGGATACTTCCAGTACATAACACAGTAAATGCTATTAATCTTATATGCACTATAGCTAAGGTGAGTCACAGTTTAAGAGTCTTGATTTCATGGTGCACACCCTCTTGAACAAGGTTGACAAATATCCCTGCTTCTGTTCCCTTAGAAGTTGCTATTTCAACAAGCAACTCTTTTCCAAGCCTGGACTCACCACTCAAGTTTTCTTAATTTACTTCAGGCACCATTACCAACATATGACTCATTCTAGGCTGAAAGACTATCTGACCACATATACATTGTTGGCCATACTGGTTACCTGTATCTTGAAATTCTACAGTATAAATACCGGTCAGTGTGTCATGAAATATCAGAGTGCAAACATACTATTTCATAGTATGCTCTTCACCAGTTGTCCACTTTGTTTTCATGCTTGCCTTCCTCTGTGGAATATGCCCTGACACCCCTACAATTCCCCCCAGGTAGAGTTATTCCTATTCTAAACTGGAACACATCTCCATTAAAGCAGTTCTTTTAGTATTTATTCTAATTTTCTGTTTACATGTTTGAAAATCTTTGAAGCTAATTAGATGTTTTTTCCTCTCTATAACTCTAATACAACCTATATTTGCCACATATAAAGTGATCAAGAGATACTTGTTGAATGAGTGAAAAGTATTTTTTAATGCGACTTTGTAAAATTACCTTATTTACTTCTGTTAATAATGTTGCACATTTATATCTTCTTCCAGACCACCTCCAAACCATATATAGATAGCATCTGCTACAGAATGATAACAGCTAAAGCTTATGTCATTGAGCAGAGTCCTGTTTGGAAAACACTTCAAAAGATAAAACTGAGTAGTGATTAATTTAACTCAAAGTTATCTTATAAATGCCCTTTTGGAAGAATATTAAAATAAACTTGTTAAGTTATAATATTCAAATATATATTTAAATGTTTTTTAATATTAATTTAAAATAAAATACATAAAATTAAAAGTGATTTTATTCTTAGGAGTTTTGTTGCATAATTCCTTTAATAATGTTAAGAAAAAAATCTAGTACCTACACATATTGTAAAAATCAGGTGGAGATTCTTAATGATACAAAGTAAATTGAGTGGAAAAATATTTGCTAGAAAATAAAAGTATAGAATTTTCTAATTAGCCCCTTAGACTAAAAGAAAAGCTATTCTTTTTAAAAAGGTTTTCCACAAGGGCAGCATGTATTTCTAAAGTTAATCTTTGCACAGTGCTTCCACACTGTAACTTCTGCTGGAGAGATGGTGATGGGACCTTCCCACTGAGACTACTCCTGAGACAAGGAAGGAGAGGGAAGATAAGATAAACAGCTTGTTGTTGTTAGATGCCGTCCATAGTGACCCCTCCTTGGGTTTGAGGCAGTATCACTACGGAAGTAGGATTGCCCAACCTTCCTTCCGAGGAGTGGCTGGTGGGTTTGAACCATCAGCCATCTGGTTAGCAGGCAAGTGTCTTAGCCACTATGCTACCAGAGCTCCAACCAACTAAGTAGTCAAAACAGTCTCTACACTCTTACAGTGGGATGATATCCAGTTTGACCTGAGAAGTTCTAAAATGTAACATAGCATCTAGCTGAAGCAGAAAGTATGTTAGTATTTTTATAAACTCACCACATATACATGAATGAATAAAGGCACTGCAACTGCAATTTATGAAATTATAACACAAAATAATTAGTATGTATTGGATTTTTTAAAGAAGTATTTAAAATACATACAAGGGAATTATTTACCATGTAAATAACTTTTTATAATCAAAGAATATTACTGATCCATGTGTTACTAAGCAAATTCATAAATGAGAAAAGCTACATTTTTCTAATTATTTTATTTTATTTTTGATTTGGGTAAAAGTTTACAGAGCAAATTTACTTTTCATACAGCAGTTCACACAAACTGTCTCGACACTGACTACAATTAACCCCAATGCAACAACTCCCCTCCCACTTCCTCCTGATAGTTACCTCTTCCCTGTGTCCATCCCTGCATGTACTCCTGCCCTGTGAGCTGTCTCCCTGTGCATACACAGCCCTTCTTTCTCCCATGATTGTTCTCTCCAAGGAGTGTATCTACCTCAGGTAAATGTTCAAATCATGTCTGTCTTTTGTTTGGCTGGAAGCCACAGGTGTGGGTTCTATTCCAGACCTGAGGGGCAGCTAGGGGTCATAGTCTCAGTGCTTCCACCAGGCTCTATCAGATCAGCAAACCTGGTCCCCTTTTTTTTTCTTTTCCAAATGATTTTTGAGGTTTTTTCCACATTGTTCTCCCTCTCTATCCAGAATCCCCTTCATAGATCCCCCTCCAAGTGGTTGACAGTGGTAGCTGAGCACCATCTAGTTCTGGTCTCATAGTTGTATAGTATGTGGATCGCATGGTGTACCAGTCGCTAGGACTAATTGTTTCCATGAATCTTTGGTTTTCTTCATTCTTCTTTGCTCTAGATGAGGAGAAACCCATCGTTGCATCTAGATGGCTGCTTGCAAGCTTTTAAGATCCCAGTAGCTCCTCGCCAAAGTAGGAGGTGGAACAATGTTTTGTGGAGTATGTTATGCCAATTGAGCTTGATGTCCCCTGCAATTACAGCCCAGAGCCCACAGGTTCAATTACTCTCTCCCTCTGGGTAGCTGGCTGTGACCAAGAAGTGACTACAACCTTGTCCCTTGTCAGCTCTACTATACCCCTGGGAATTCTTACAGAACATACAAATACACTTGTAGAACCACTGTCTGCCAACCCTATACATGGTCTTGGGTACACTCCCTGCTGAATGTTGTTGTTGTTATGTGCCATCAATTTGGACCTGACTCATAGCAACCCCTCCTTAGGTTTCCGAGACGGTATCACTATGGAAGTAGATTGCCCAACCTTCCGAGGAATGGCGTAGGCATACCTACTAGTTCAGCCTGTCCACACATCTATCCACCCATATACCCGTGTTTGCCTTCACTGACAACACAGTACTATATGTGCAAAAGGGTTCATCTTTGTTGTCTGCACCTCCCATATACCTATTTCTTCCCCTTCCTCAGTGCCACCATGTTGATCACTCACATTTTGGTACAGTGCCCATCTCTTCACCCAAATCAATACTTATCTCTACCTATCTAACAGTGTTCCCTCTCCACCCCTCCCATCCCCGGTAACCAACAAAGAAAATTTCCTTCCATGTATATACCTTTCCTTGACTTTTACAATAACGGACTAATATTTGTCCTTTTGTGATTTACTTATTTCACTCAGCATAATGTCCTTCAAGTTCATCCACATTATGGGTGTTTTGCAGATTCTACATTATTCTTCAGGGTTGCATAGTATTCCATTGTGTGTATATAGTGCTTTGCTTACCGAGGTCTCTTTCCTTTCCATATAAAGTTAGTGATTGGTTTTCCATGTCCTTAAAAAATGTTGATGAGATCTGGATTTGGATTGCATTGAATGTATAGATGGCTTTGGGTAGAATTGACATTTTCACAATGTTCAATCTTCTTGTCCATGAGCATGGGATGTTCTTCCATTCATGTTGATCTCTTATGGTTTCCTGAAATAGTTTTTTAGAGTTTTCTTTGCACAGGTCTTTTGTGTCTCTGGTAAGATTTATTCCCAAGTATTTTATTTTTTTGTTAGCTATTGTAAATGGTATTATTTCCTTATTTCTTTTTCAGCAATCTCTTTGCTGGTATAGAGGAATCCAACTGATTTTTGGATGTTGATCTTGTATCCTTCCATGATGCTAAATCTCTCAATTAGTTCCAGTATATTTTTGACGGAGTCTCTTGGGTTCTCTATGTATAGGATCATATCATCAGCAAACAGGGATAGTGTGACTTCTTCCTTAACAATATGGATGCATTTGATTTCCCTTTCTTGCTTTATGGCCCTGGCTGAACTTCCAGTACAGTGTTAAATAGAAGTGGTGATAGAGGGCATCCTTGTCTGGTTCCTGTTGGCAAGAGGAATGGTTTCAGTCTCTCTCCACTGAGAATAATGTTGGCTGTTGGTTTTGCATCAATGCCTTTTATGTTGAGGAATGTCCCTTGTATTCCTGTTTTGCTGAGAGTTTTGATTAGGAATGGGTGTTGGATTTTATCAAATGCCTTTTCTGCATCAATTGATATGATCATGTGGTCCTTTTTCTTTGTTTTATTTATGTGGTGGATGACGTTGATTGTTTTTCTAATGTTGAACCATCCTTGCATGCCTGATATGAACCCCACTTAGTTAACAATAACTTTTACAGAAAATTTTAAATAAAGGTATTAACAAGTCTTAACAAAATACAGTATTTTGCTAGTTTTTATTTAGGAGGCAGAACCTTCACTTTATCCCAATATTTTCTTCAGAGGTAGACTTTGTTTTTATTTCAATGAGTTCCTCTACTCGAGCTAGAACACTTTCAATCAAATCAAACGTGAAGAGCGCTGAATGTAGGACCTGGATGACAAGAAAAATTAGTATTATTAATTCTGCCTTTAAAGACAAACAAAGCATAACAGAGAAAAATCTTCAGCTATATGTACGCTTGAAAAACTTAGGAAAACTTTAGCTCACCTTAAGCTGCATTTCAGGAGGCATATTAGGCATCTCCTCTCCACATACAGTTACAGAACAAGTATCTTTGGACTTCTGGACTTCTGTAAGAAAAGGAAAAAACTATGTGTCACATCCTTTAAAACAACTCTCAGAGTTCAGTTATAAATTTATAAGCTGCTTTCATCATTCATCAACTGTAAAAAGTATGGCAGTTACTTGTGTCAATTATTGTTAATGCTTGAAAGCTCAGAGTATGTTTAAACCATAAGCAAAAAAAAAAAAAAATTAAACATCAATATTACATTTTATAACATGTAAATTAATGCTGCTTTAGGTGAATAGCATTATATTGGCATGTATAGAAAATGAAAGTTTATAAAAATATTTCATCAGTATATAATCATATTTACACCCAATACACTAAAAAAGACAATTTCTAGTAATGACTATAGAAATACAATCATATCTATTTGGAAATGATTACAAGAAAACATATAACTGCTGACTTGAAAGTAATTCTAGATCTAAATTTTCCATAATTAGTAGATTTATTTGGGGGTGAGGTAGGGGGTAGACCCAACATAACCAAAGGAAGTAAAATGGTACCTAAACAGAAATAATGCAGTCAATCATATCATCAATCAGAACTTGAGGCTTTAAACCAGAATGTGCTTTGAGTCAACTCTTTGTTAGCCTAATTTCAATGTTAATTAACTTCTGGAGTGGCTAAAAATCATTTTGATAATAAAAAAAAAAGTTTTAGCTGTCATTTTTCCTTGTCTGGTATAAATTAAAGAAGTACAAGATTTTTTTTTTTAAAAAAAGTCTTTACTATGAATATATATGTGACAGTTCCAAAATATGTTTTTAGACCTAACTGAAAATGAAGTTACACATTACCAACCGTGGCTATTTTCTTGGTTATTTTTAATTTCTGCTTCATAATGTGCTTTTGACATATTAAGTCCTGTGTGGAGTGGCTTTAAGAAATTATTTTCAATCTTCCCAAGTTCTGTCCATAATCCAGTCTGTTCAGAAGAATTAATGAAAGAATTAGTTATTTGGTTCAACATATACTGATTGTCTACTATTACTAAACATGTGCTAAGAGCTGGAGAAACCAAAATGAGTAAGGCATAGTCCTTGCCCTTCGAAGATGTTGCTGTCTACTTGAGAATTTTTTTTTTTTTAATTTTTATTGTGATTTGGTTGAAAGTTTACGGAGCAAATTCATTTTCCATACAGCAGCTCACATACAGTTGGTCTCATGACCTTGACTGCAATTTCCCACAACACAACAGCTCTCTTCTCACCTCTTCCCCATAGTTTCCTCTTCCCTGTGTCCTTCCCACCCATGCACTCCTGCCTCCCCTCCGAGCTGTCTCCTGTGCATACACAGCCCTTCTATTCTTACTATGTAGAGTTTTATGTTGCACAATACATTCATCACTGTATCTAGTTAGTTTATGTGAGTATCAATCAAAACAAAAAATGTTCTTAGGGCAGTATATTCATTACTATTCCATTTGGGCAGCTCCTAGTTTTGAGATCTGTAACTTAACAGGTTTTAGAAAGTTATTTGAGGATAATCCAGTCTGCGAAACTTCTCTTCACCTACAAACCACCTCCAGAATGACTCTACTCTGTGCACCCCCCTTCAAACATTGACCTTTCGATCGATAGCCTTGCCACAGATCTAGTTCACAGGATTATCTTCTCTATTGATAGCTTTCCTAAGCTGATTTGGACTTCCTTGGTGTGTAAAGAAGCCCTGATGGTACAGTGGTTGAGCACTTGGCTGATAACCAAAAGGCTGGTGGTTCAAACCCCCAGCCAATCCATGGAAGAAAGATGTGGCAATCTACTTCCATAAAGATTACAGGCTTGGAAACCCTATTGGGAAGTTCTACTATGTCTTACAAGCTAGGAATCGAAGTCACAATTGACTCAATGGCAACAGGTTTGGTTTTGTTTGGGCTTTGATGCCCATTGTAGATAGAGATTTTACCTGCTTAGCACAGCTTAGAGTTGTCACTTGTGTTAGAAGTTGTTATTCTAAGAGCATGTCTTCCTGTAGCACTAAAAAAGGGGACTGATGAAGTCTTAATTTTATAGAAAGAGAAGGGAGGAAGAGAGCAAGAAAGAAACAGTAAGGAAGGAACAAAGGAAGGAAGGCTACTGATACTCTTTCCAGTTAGTCTTTAAAAAAAAACAAACTTAGGTTAAAAAAGAAAGTTAGAAACCCAATTATCCTTAACTGGGACAATGAAAACCTATTTTATAATGAACTTATTCTGATCCAAGGCATTCTACTCAAGGCCCTCAAAATATAATCTACACATATCTATTTTGAATATTGATAACTCCTACAACTGTCTCATATATCCTTTTCATGTAAACCTATCCTTTCTCATTTCTCCTGTAGTGCTAGGAAAAGTGCTAGGGAAGAACTAGATAAAGAACCAAAACCTTTAACAATATGCATACTCATTCATTCAGCTTCTATGAACTTATTTACTCTGGGGAAATAATAAAAGATGTTGTAATGACTCTATTGCAGAGATGCTTACAGAAATAGTTTATTAATTAAATTATTTCACAACAGGGATAAGAAATAAATTGTGGTATGCTTACACCATGGAAATCTATAATACAAAGCCATTGAATATTTTTCTTTAGGACATATTGTTGAGTAGATAAAAAGGTTATAAAAAGTATGTTTTGTATAGTATCTCATTTTTCTTTTAAAAAGTCAAGTACAGTTGTGCTAACATAGAGCCTCAAAACCAAAAACCAAACTCACTGCTGTCATTTTTGACTCCTTGGGTTTCCAAGGCAGTATCTCTACAGAAGTAGATTGCCCAGTCTTCCTTCTGAGGAGTGGCTGGTGGATTTGAACCACCAGCCTTCTGGTTAGCAGAGAAGGATATAAACTATATCAACAATGAGTGACGGGATTTTGATTTTCTTTTTGCTTATTTATTCTGATTTTAAAACAATGAACCTTAATTTTATGATTTTTAAAAAATTGTTTTTAAATATGTTTTTAAACTTCTATTAATAGAAAATTTTCTTGTCCTCTCATGGCCAACATAAGTTATGCAGCAGTGCAGCAGAAATTTCTTCAACCACCATAGTCATGCAGGTTGAGGATGTGATATTTCTCCTATTTTCATCACTCCCTCCAGCCTCTTCTTTTTCTTTTTCTGTTCCTTTTTCTCCTTTCTCCCTTGCCTTTACCTTGGGTAGAACTCATTACTTACTGCCCAATCTCACTGATCTCACTGATGACTTCAAGACTAAAAGTTAGGTTACTAGTAACTCTCTCACTCAAAAACTCACTGCTGTGGAGTTGGATCTGACTCATAGCGACTCCTCCTCAGGCTTCCGAGGCAGTATCACTATGGAAGTAGACTGCTCAATCTTCCTTCTGAGGAACAGAAGGGTTTGAACTGCCTGCCTTCTGGTTAGCAGTCAAATGCCTTAGGTACTACACTACCAGAGTACCCAATAACTCTTTACAAATACATTATTATTATTATTACTATTGAAACAGTCAAACATAAGAGTATAGAGAAAATACCCTTTAACCCCAGCTTTTTCAAATCTAAGTGCTTTACCATAGTTACATTTAAAAAAAAAGAAAATTAGATATGGTGTGTCCTGGTGGCACAATGGTTAAACACTTGGCTGATAACTAAAAGGCTTAATCCCCTTTGTTCAAGAATTAGCCATTAACTAAAACTTGACTGACTGTACAGCATTCCCAATGTATCCTTAACCAATTTACTGTAATTTTACATGTTTTAAAACTTATATAAATGGAATCATACTGTACACATTGTGCTTCAGCTTTGGTGTTATTTGTTTCAGCTCTAATTCTTTCATTTGAATTGGTTTATAACCTGGTTGCCATTGAGTTGATTCAGACTTATGGTGACCTCATGTGTTCTACAAAATAAAACTGCTCCATAGTGTTTTCTTGGCTGAAATCTTCTGCAGAAGCAGATCAACAATCCTTCCTTTTGCAGTGTCATTGAGTGGGTTCAAATTGCCAGCCTTTCAGAAGTGGATAAGCATAAACTGTTTGCACTACCCAGGGATCTGAATTGGTGTGTAGGCATTCTATTGTACACAATTTACTATTTTTTTTAGTACTTGAAACAATGCTACTATATTATGTTTTCCTATTCACACAGGGTGAAAGTTTTTCTACGGTAGCATTTTAAAAAATATTTTCACTATGACCCACAGTAAGAAATATATATTACAACCCAACAAATGTATATATAATTGAAACAAAAGTTTTGCAAAGAAACCCATTCTGTATATAAACCAAAAAACTAAACTCACTGCCACTGAGTAGATTCCAACTTAGAGTGACTCCTATTGGGTTTCCTAGGCTGCACCTCTTTACAGAAGTAGACTGCCCTATTTTCCTTCTGCAGAACAGCTAGTGGGTTTGAACTGCTGACCCAGTTAGCAGGCAATGGGTCAACCACAGCGCCTTTATTCTCTGTATATCTATGTACAATATTTAAATGTATATAGAAAAACTATAAAATTCAAAAATAAACATTAAGGGACTTCAACAAGATGGCAGAATAGTCAGACAAGCTATCCAGATCCTCTACAACAAAGAAACGAGAAACCAACTGAAACGGATACAGATGATAATCCTGAAATCCTGAGCTTCAAAGGCAAGGATAAAGAAGTGGATGGCACTGTGGTTAAAGCACTAGGCTGCTAACCAAAAGGCTGGCAGTTAAAAACCACCAGATGCTCCATAGGAAAAAGACGGCAGACTGCTTTTGTAAAGATTTATAGCTTTGGAAACCCCAAGGGGCAATTCTATTCTGTCCTATAGGGTCACTATTAGAATTGACACGATGGCAGTGAGTTTGGTTTTTTTGGGCAGTAGAAAAAACAATGGAAACAATATATAAAGAGATAGATGGAGCTGTGGACTGCTGACTGGCCTGACGGTATGGCTATTTTGAGTATTTGTAAGAGGCAATTGGGGTAGCAACCTAATAAGTGGTTCTCCGTGCTAACAGCTGCTTGGATATCCACACTGGTGGCTGATAACTACAACGGTGTGACATTCCCTTTGTACTTTGCACCCTCATGGTAATTGGAGGCATGGCCATCCTCCATCCCCACCCACCTTCTGCAGCAGCAGGAATTCCAGCCCAGATAGGGTGCCTGTCACCAGCTGCCTTCTGGGCAGGCAGGAACTGGTTCCAGGATCACGTGTCCTTCTCCAGCCACCTTTTGGGACAGAAGAAACTTTCTCTCTGGGAACAGGGACCCTGCTGCACCCAACTGCTCTTTGTATCAACAAGAACTCATCTGGGTTCAGACACCTTGTTCACCAGTTACCTTTTGGGTAGGAAAGAACTAGTTCTGGGACCAACCACCCTGGTCCTAGCTGCCTGTTGGGCCAGCAGAAACTTTTTATGGGACTAGGTACACCAACACCACTTTGGGTCAACAGGACCTTCTGGGACCAGGCACCCTGCCCACAGCTGCCTTTTAGGCTGGCAGGAACACCTTCTAGAAATAGGTGCCTGCTTAACCAGCAGGGACACTGCTGCCCCAAGTTTTCTTTTTTTATTTTTCCCAATTGACTATTTTCCTACTTTCTTTCCTTTCCCTGGTTCTTGTTTTATTTTCCTTGTTCCCTTTTTTCTTTCTTCTTTTTTCTTTTCTTTTTTTCCATCCCCTGCTTTTCTTTCTGTATTTTTCTTTACTATTCTTTCTCTTGCTTTCTTTTCTTTTTCCTCCTCTCCAGATTTTTCCTTTTTGTCCTTCTCTTGTCCCCCCTTTCTTTTACTTGTTTTCTTTTTGTGGAGGGGTTGGCTGTTTATGCTGTTGGTGTTTTTTTATTCTTATTTTTATCTTTTTACTAGTGTTTCACTGTGCCCACACAACTAACTAAATCTGCACCTCCTGCTGCCCACCCACTAGGCGAGGGCCACCACCTGCTTCTGTACCAACGTATCAATGACAGATGGCCTCCAATACC